TTTTTTTTTTTTTGTAAATAGTGCTGAATTAGGTTTTGTTTTGTGAGCCAATTTGAAAATCTTTTTCTTTTCAATAGGTAAGTTAAGCCCACTTAAGTTTATTGATATGACTAATATATCTGACTTAAGTCTTCTATTTAAAAATCTTACTGTGTGGTGGGGTGCCTGGGTGGCTCAGTCTGTTAAGCATCTGACTCTTGATTGTGGCTCAGGTCATGACCTCATGAGTTCGTGATCTCATGATCTCACGATCTCATTCATCCAGCACCGTGGTGGGCTCTGTGCTGAGAGTGCCAAGGCTGCTTGGTATTTCTCTCTCCCTTTCTCTCTGCCCCTCCCTTGCTTGCACATGCACATGCACGTGCGCTCACTCTCTCAAAAATAGACATTAAAAAAATTTAAAAATATTACTATATGGTTTTATAGGTTAAAAAGCTTTCAACAAATATAAAAACTCTTGGGGCGCCTGGGTGGCTCAGTCAGTCGAGCGTCCGACTTTGGCTCAGGTCGTGATCTTGCGGTTCGTGGGTTCGGGCCCTGCGTCGTGCTCTGTGCAGACAGCTCAGAGCCCGGAGCCTGCTTCGGATTCTGTGTTTCCCTCTCTCTCTGCCCCTCCCCCACATGCGCTCTGTCTCTCTCTGCCTCTCAAACATAAAGAAAACTAATTAAAAAAATTTTTTTAACAAATAAAAACTCTTAATATTTAGAAAGGTTTGTATATTCTATTGGTTATATTTATAATGATAATTTTACCCAATACAGTCTTTCTTTCTTCTTTTTTTTTTTTTAAGTGTTTATTTATATTTGAGAGAGAGAGAGGGAGTGAACCTGAGTAGGGTAGGGGCAGAGAGAGAGGGAAACAGAGGATCTGAAGCAGGCTCTGCACTGACAATAGAGAGTCTGATGTTGGGCTCGAACTCACGAATCATGAGATTATGACCTGAGTCCGAGTCAGGTGCTTAATGGACTGAGTCACCCAGGCACTCAATACATTGTCTTTCTTAGAGAATAACAATATTTATTAGTTTCCTATAATAAGAAATGATAAAATGAGTATATATTATTTTCCTTTCTGCTTTTACTTCTCTCCCACCATATGATTTTGATCAGTTATATGCTTTTTATTAATGTTCACTTTAGGAATCTTTCACCTTAGGAATATCAAATATCTGCATTTTAGTGGATTTGTTGGTTTTAACTGGTGTCTTATGACTCCTAGTTAGTTTTCTTTATATTTCTGTGGTTATCATCTTAATCATTTTGAAACTGTTTACTCATTTAAGATTATTATTATGTCTTCTTGCTGAATTGACCCTTTTATCATTATGTGATATACCTCTTTATCCTTGGTTATCGTCCCTGTTCTAA